AGACAGGCTTGCCTTTTGGCGAGACTGAGGAAGACACTTTGCCTCAACGGCCTGACCCACTGCCACCCCAGGACAGACTGGTGTGACCCAGATCTCACATTCATGGTGGATGGTTCCGTCTCCACCCAGTTTTCTTCTGGCCTCTCCCTCTCCCTCCTTGTGGAAGTCCAGACGGAACGTGTGGTTCCTTTGTTTTTCTGCACCCGAGCTGAGCCCTTTGGTGCTGCCTGAGCAGTGACCATGAGGAGTTAGGAGAGCACACTGCTGGTGACCGTCATTATGACAGTGCGAGGTACGTTAGGGGGTCTGAGCAAATGTCTGCCTCTCTGAGCCTTGCGGTGCCCTGTGGTGGACTAGGATGGGCAAGCACCTCTGTTAATGAGCAAAGTCCACGGAGATGGAAAAGTGAAGGAGAACCGTCCAGAGATGTCGGGATCTGCAGCGGCAGCCTGTGGGCACCCCGGCCATGGACAGAGGAACCTGCAAAGGCAGCCCCAGCAGGCCGGGGGCTGCCACAAACACTCTTGCTGGCCGTGCGGTCACGGTCAGCGGGCCCAGGCAGGACAGGTGGGGCCTTTGTCGGCAGTGTCGGTGGCTCCTGAGTTGGGGGAGTTGTCAGGAATGGGGCATGCACCGTGCCAGATGAGGGGGCGAGGAGGGGGTGCTCCCCCAGCTGCCGGGCTCAGACCCAGGACTAGGCTGCCCCATACCAGCCCTGATGGGGGGGCAGGGGACAGGGACACACATCTGAGTTACAGCTCTTTCCAGTGCCAGCCTGGGAGATGCTGACGTCAAGTCAGGACACTCAGGGTCACTGACGTGCTGCCCGGGCACGTTCCCTCCAGGGGCCCTCAACCGAACAAGCCACCCCTACCCCAAGCCCGGGAGATGGCCAGAGTGGTGGCATTCCCCACTAAACTTGGTCAGCAGCATGGATCTTCAGTTGGGTTCCATGTGATGCTTATTGGGGCATTTTAAACACCCTAAGCCAAAGCCACACTCCAGAGCCACTAAATCAGATTCCGAGGTAGGGCCTGGGCATTGATGGTTTTCAAACCTCCTCCGGGGGACTCTGAAGGGCAAAAAACCGGGGACCAAAGACATCCAGCCCTGCTCCTCCATGTGTGGTCTGTGGACCAGCCGCCCGCATCCCCCTAAGCCTGCCAGAAATGCAGAGGCCCAGGCCTATTCAGCCGCAGAATCCAAGTCCCTAACGTGCTCCATGTGCAATGAAAGGCTGATGAGCTCTAGGCCCTTTACAGGGTCCCCAGGGCTGTGGGCTGTCAGTACCTCCTTCAGTGAGAAGCCCCGAGGGGCGCCATGGTGGACCTGAAAGAGGTGGCCTGCAGGGAGTGATACCCAGTGCACAGGGCCTGGAAATCCACTTATAAAGAGGCTGGAAGGGCCAGACTTGGTGGCTCCACCTGTCATCCCAGCACTTTGGGAGGCCGAGGCGAGAGGACTGCCTGAGTCCACAGGTTGGAGACCTGCCCGGGCAACTTGGCGAGAACTCGTCTCTACAATAAATCAAAAACTAGCCAGGCATGGTAGCGCACACCTGTAGTTCCGGCTACTCGGAAGGCTGAGGCGGAAGGATCGCCGGAGCCCAGCAGGTCGAGGCTGCGGTGGCCGGGGGTGTGCCACTGCACTCCAGTCTAGGCGATGGAGTGAGACTCCGACTCCAAAAAAGAAAAAAGAGGCTGGAACGCCCCAGACCATCTGCGGCTCTGTATCTACATAGGTTGATTTCCACACTGCCCTCAGCCCTCCAGGTGGAGCCCAACACAGCAGGCTGTTTGCTCAAAACGCGAGGAGCCAGCTCTCGCTGACCACGGGCTCATGGTCAGGGCCACCCGCCCGTGGACACACACAGCCCTCTTTGGACGAGCTCCGAGAAGGTGAAGACCTGCTCAGGGTTCCCTTAGCCATTTAGATCTTGATTTTAGTTTACGAATTGTTTCCCCGCATTCCCATCTTTAAGCTTTATTTTGCAGTTAGTGTGGAGAAAGAGAAACAAGGACCAGCCGAAACTGTGCTCAGGACAATGCCGGGGTCGTCACAGCCTCATTTAACAGCCAGGCAGGTTGAATAGGAGAGAGCTCGTCTTCACTCCCATCCTGAGTCATGCAGGGCTGGGCCTGCCCTTTCCTCTCACCTGCCTGGAACGTCTTGGTGGCCATGCCGAACAGCAGCGGCCCAAGCAAGCCCTGAGAGTGACCCTATGGTCTCGGAAAAGCGTTTGTTCAAAGTCTGGACCAAGGCATCTGGGAGCAGCCAGCCCAAAGCTGCCTCCTTATCTGTGGGGAACATCTGAACCCCAGCAGTTCCTCGGAGCGGGCTGTGTTTTGGGCTCGTGGAGGCTGCTGTATACACTGCATGGCTTTTGCAAGCAGCAGCAGTGACCCTGTCCAGGCAGCCACTTCTGGACCCCTATACGTTCCCCAATAAAACCCATGTCTCTCTCCCTGTCTCCACGTCTTTCCTTTGGCCTCTTGAACCTTACACTGTCCCTACTCAGTTCGTCAGAGGTACAGCCTGACAGGGCCATCTGCTTCACCTCTGCCCCATGACAGGGACCAGGGAATGTGTCACAGGGTGCCCCAGGGCAAGCCGCTGCCCCTCTGAGGCCTGTACAGAACCCAAAACCCTCCCATCGTGGCCATGAGCACATCCTAGCAGCCAAGGGCATGCCAGAACCAGGCCACCCTAGACCAGCCAACCCCTGAGGGGTAAGAAACAGCACCACCTTCCAGCCAGGGTATCATAACTGGAGCTTTATTGTAATGCGTTCCATTATCTCCAGAACATCACTGGCCACCAGAAACTTGTATGCAAGGGTAATTTTTATAACCTCAGAGTAAATAAAATAGAATAGAGAATGGAATTATAACCATAAATACACCTTAAATATAAATATACACATCGATATCCCACACATATAAAAGTCACGCTCTGCAAATACTTGGCCTACATATTCTGCGGAGCACTGAATTCCAGGATGTCTCTTCCAGGATTCACATGTGCCCCATTAGCTATGGATATTACTAGAGAACTAATGCAGGAGCAACACATTACAAGTTTTGGGGAAAAAAGATTAAGTATCATAGAGCTTTTAAAATATTTGATACATTTTTGTTCTACAAAGAAGGAGCATTTCTTAAATATTACAAACAGTGAACCAAATATACTAGCTTACAGATATATACAATTTGCTACTTTGTACTTCAAAAATGCAGGAAGATAAATTCTATATTTCATGTACATGTCATTTTGGATACAGTGAACAATTTGATATTGCTCTTGTTGGTCTTGCAGTCTCTTGTGCACACTGATGGCTTGTTGCGTGTGGAGGAGGGCCAGTGGGGACAGAGGGACGTCACGGCACCCATGCTTGTTCCCAGGGCACCATGTTCAAAGCAATATTCCTATTCAAAGCGATATTCTGAATTTTACACCTTACTGTGGCTGGGTCAAAAACCGATCCCCATACGTACCATAGGACATGTTTTCAAGAACCACAATTAGGTCTCTGGGAGTGGGAACACACAAGAGCTAAACACAATCTGGTTCCTTGGCACCAACTCCTCCAGCCCCAAGTCAGCTAGGGAGGCCCCAGACACAGTCTTGAGGTGGGCGTCAGTATCCTCAGTTCAGGATCTAATCACGGGATGATGGTCCACGACTGAGGCCTCAACGGCCTTTCTCACCTATACCCTCACAGGCAAAATAAAAAGGAATAAGGTGGGTCCCTTGTGAGAGCAGATTTTCAATAACTGAAAGCTTCTCATACTGATGAAACCCGTAAAACGTAATCATATAGAAACAGACTTGAAAAGGATAAGATAAATTGTGATTTATGATCAGCAGGAATGGGGTAGTTTGTAGAGAGATCTCCCATTAAAGGACTAACACACATTTCAGTTGGCAGCAAAGGCCACATTTCACCACCAGCAAAAAAACCACTCAAAACCTAAGCCTCCACGTTGGCCATAAAGTTCCGCTTCTCCTTCCACTTAGCCCACACCCGAACTACAAATTGATCCTCTCTGAGAACAGCAGCAGAAAAAGTGCAGGGACGTGTTGGAAAACAAATGTTCAAAAAAATTCACCAACAACAAACTCCTCACAAATGCCATGGAAGGGCCTTTTAGACCAAGACGTGCACTCTGAGGGACCCTGAGGTTCCTGGAGCGGCCGAAGTGCTCTGGCCCCCACTGGCTCCCCGGTCCCATCCCTTCTTCAGCAGGGCGTGAGTGTCCCTGTAAAGTCGGGCAATTGTGTTCCAGGAGAGTGAGGGGATGGTGAGACCACAGAGCCCAGCGGTTCTCCAAGGCACCTCCAAGCCCGGGGGGGAGGTGTTGGAGAACAGCGGGAATGAGACCAGGACAGGCCTGGACAAGAAAGGGGCAAACACCAGGACGGGAATGTGCTTTGGAGGACGGAGGCAGCCACATCGCTACCGCCACCCTGAACAGGAGGGACGGGAGGAGGCAGTGCGGACAAGCGTCCCCAGCTGCAGAGCCTTGCCGGGCTGCATGGCCACCAGATGCCAGGCAAGCCCACATGCGTGCGGGTGACGGGAAGGACTGCAGCAGGGCAGCGCCGCGGTCAGCCAGCACGCATTCTGCCGATGTCATCAACCAGGAGAACGAACAGAGCCATTCGCAGAATGTCGGGGAACAGAGTCCAGGTGGACACCACGATGGCAGAGGCACGGCTGCATGCCACCCCTAGCCACGGCCCCATGCCAGCACATGGGAATCCTTGTGGCTGTAATTTGGCTTGAAGGTTTAAGGTTTCAGGATGCACACATCTTGGGAGAAGAACATCACTGCTCTGAGAGTGAGTCCTGCATCAAACAACTCCTAGAAGACACGGATAATGGATCACGCGAGAGAAGTTACTGTCATTTAAATGCATTTTCCAGGAACGTATTTCCGATATAGACAAATCCTCAAAAACACAGTGAGTAACTTCTGCTTCAAAGTATTTCATTAAGGTGCAAAGTGTGGCGTACACGTGTTTGTGACGTCAGCAAAACAGATGTGCTTGTGGTTGTCGGATGGCCTTTGTGGGCTGTGACCCAGCTGGGTATGGGCTGAGTTATTAAAGAGAAGAAAACCACCTTGGAGGAGAAAACGTCCAAAAATGGCGACTTTATTTGCTTGTGTTTAAAAGCTGAGGGCTGGAAGAAGTCACACTCTTCACAGGTCAAAGAAGAAAGCTTCACATTTCTGATATCCTTGAGCGTAACACGCAGGAACGTGATTGCGATATTGTCACGATGTCACAATACCCCTCCTCGAGAACTGAAGCATGTCTGACAGAGCAGCACGCTATGGGTGAACTGATCATTGCGTATGAAAATAAGCACTCTACCAGGAGAAAACGACACTTGCTAACTAGGTCTACACGAGGCAAACACACTCCCAGCCACGATAGCAAGGCTCCCGGCAGGTCGGGAGAAAACGGAGAACAGACATCCTTCGGGGGAGGCTGTGTAACTATTTAATCCAGTTAAAGTACTATAAAATGGGCCGGTGTGGTTCCCCCTGAGACGGGGGGGGGTCTTCTCACGCCCCCGACCCTGCTTCTCCCCCAGAGGTGTTACGGGCTTCAGAGCAGAGAAGGACACCTGGTTTGGGGTGGGGGTGGGCGGCCCCAGGCCAGCACGCTCTCACATGCATGTAGACGACAGTGCTCTCAGCACCGCTGCCCCCCCACCTGCGAGTGGCAAGCCACCTCCAGACACGGCGGGGCCCATCCAGCGTCCGGGCGCTCAGCGCGGGCATCAGCAGTCCCTCAGCCTCCTGCGGTTTCTGACGGTGGGGGTGGGCTTCCGGCGGTGGCGGGACGCCCTCCGAGCACGGGAGGGCCAGTCTGGGTCCAAGGTGGCGCGGGACACGGGGGCATCGTGCATGACACGGGGGCGGCAGCGGGGGTCCCGGGGGAGGCGCCGGGGCGGCCGCCCTCCCGAGGGGCCCTCACATGACCACGCACTTGCCCTTGAGCTTCTCCTTCCGCTTCTGCTGCTTGCTCTTCTTGCCGTCGATCTGGAGGCTCACGGTCCTGCGCTTCTCCAGGTTGAGCAGCTCCTGGAAGAGCTCCTTGACGTTGTGGTTGAGCTTGGCCGAGGTCTCCATGAAGGCGCACTTCCAGGCGCGCGCCAGGGCCTCGGCCTCGCCGCTCTGCACCTCGCGGCTGGGGCTCTCGTCGCACTTGTTCCCCACCAGCATGATGGGGATGCTCTCCACGTCGCCCTTGATCTCGCAGATCTGCTGGTAGATGGGCTTGAGCTCCTCCAGCGACTGCCGGCTGGTGATGGAGTACACCAGGATGAAGGCGTGGCCCTTGGAGATGGACAGCCGCTGCATGGCGGGGAACTGGTGGCTGCCCGTGGTGTCGGTGATCTGCAGCGTGCAGATGCTCTTGTCGCAGCTGATGACCTGGCGGTAGGTGTCCTCCACCGTGGGGATGTAGCTCTCGCGGAACGTGCCCTTCACGAAGCGCAGCACCAGCGAGCTCTTGCCCACGCCGCCCGCGCCGAACACGGCCACGCGGTAGTCGTTGCTCTGCTCCGGCATGTTGCTGGCAGGACGTGGCCGGCAGCCGGGGCTCACCTGGGAAGGGAACCAGACCACGGGAGAGTTAGCGGAAGCGCCTGGAGAAGGTTGGCAGGGCCCTCTTTCGACAGCTTAGACGGCGGGCCCATCGGGTTCCCCTTCACCCCAACACAGGCGCCAGTCGAGTTTCAGTCTAAAACTGCTACCACTCTAAGCCCAACCCATGTGGTAAATCTGCGCTTTTCAAAAGGGCAGCCGATCTGCTCAGAGCTTGAGGGGCCCCAGCTGTCTCTCCTGGTCGGACCTTGATGCTGTGCCCCAGGGACAGCCCAGGAGAGGTAAGGAGGAGAAGAGGAATTAGCCATCCCAGCGTGCGCGCGCGCACACACACACACACACACACACACACACACACACACACACCATGGTTCATACTTCCTGCTTCACCTTATGTACTGAAAACCCAGTATACAAGTCACAACAATGTATAATTTTTCTTTTTTTTTGAGTTGGAGTTTCGCTCTGTCGCCCAGACTGGAGTGCAGTGACCGCTCGCGGCCACCACAGCCTCAACCTGCTGGGCTCCAGCGATCCTTCTGCCTCAGCCTTCCGAGTAGCTGGAACTACAGGCGTGCGCTACCATGCCCAGCTAGTTTTTTGATTTATTGTAGAGATGAGGTCTCGCCAAGTTGCCTAGGGGGGTCTCGAACCCATGGGCTCGGGCAATCCACTCACCTCAGCCTCCCAAAGCGCGGGATTACAGCCTGAGCCACCAAGTCCGGCTTGCGTATAATTTTTTACGACAAACACTGGGAGGGGGAGCTATGGGAGAGTGACCCTCTTCCTGTCTGTCCAGTGTTTGTTTCACTCCTGACACCCTCACCACCTTGCAGAAGCTGGTGATGTCAGCTCTGCTGTGCAATGATGACACTGGAAACACAGAAGGGAAAGGGAATGGAACATCCTTGTGTCACCCCGCTGGGAAGAGGCGGGGCTGGGATATGAACCAAGCATCATGGATGCCAACACCCCCCACAGGCAGCCTGCAGAAAGAGCTGGCCTTGTGACTGAGCACTACTCAGGTCTTAGTGTAGATGGTACATCCAACAGAGCTGGCTGCTGACCGAGAAGCTTGGATAGTCATTTCATCGATCAAAACTAAAGCAATTATACGTGTTTTATTACGGAGTGAGACTCCAACACACACACACACACACACACACACACACACACACACACACACACAAGAATCATAAGGAGCTGATTATTACCAGGATAGTAGGATAACTATTTATTAAAGACTATTAGGACTGAGTAGAATGGGGTTTCCTTTCATCACAAGCATCACCCCTAGTCCAAGGGGTTTGCAAATGTGCTTTCTTCATTTATAAACTATCTGTCATCCTGTGCCTTCTCGGGTATGAAAGGATACACAATACACACACAAAAAAACACAGACTTAAGCAACATCCTAGTTATTCCAACTGAAGCAGACAAGCAGTGTGGTAATGTGAACCAAGGACCCCGTTCTGGGCTGCACCTCGGCACTGTGTTGACTTCACTTTCCCCGACTTAGAGGAACCAGGGAACAACAAAAAGCACTGCTGAACAAGATCATTTCAGAGTCCAGTAAAAAGTATTAAATATAATTAACAATGGAGGGAAATGGGCTTGCGCAATGAGAATGTTTACTGGCAGACAGAACATCAGGTCAATGCCCGGGCTGTGGCATCTTGTCTTCCCATCTCATCAAGTGCATTCACCTCCAAGTCTGCTGCTTTAAGTGCTCAGTTGTTCTTGTGTGCACTTTGGAACCCCCAGGCCCTCCAAGAAACTGAAGAAGCATCAATGCTAAAAGAGAGTTTAAAAAAGATGTCAGGAAGTTCACTGACAACAAAAGACTGCAGGAGAGCCTGCATAGGCATCTGATGGAGTCTATTAAATGCGCAAGAGATGATTATGGCCAATTCAAAAGTGCAGCATGGTGATTCATTGTGCTATGTTTAAAAAACAATCAACGGTGACTTAGTTCATTTTCTGTTGCGATAACAGAATACCGCAGTTTGATTAAGTTTAAAAGAGAAGAAATTTATTCTGGAAGGTACTGGAGGCTGTTAAGTTCCATAGGAAGGTGCCGGCATCTGGTGGGAGCCTTTACTGTGCTGTAACATGGTGGAAGGTAGCACGTGCCAGGCAGCGCAGGCATGCTAGCCAGGCTGTCTCTTTCTCTTCTTATAAAGCCATGGATGCCATCATGGGGGCTCCATCCTCAGGGCCTCATCTAATCCTAAGTGTCTCTCAAAGGCCTCCCCTCCAAATGCCACGAACATAGGAATTTGGGGACTACGTTTCCAACACACGAACTTTCGGGGGACACAGTCAAACCCTAGAAGGTAGCCAGTGGCGTCTGGTCTGAAGCTTCTCTCTGCATCCTCAGAATGAAGCTCCCTTCCCTTCCTCACTCAGTACTGCCTTGTGTGACGATTATTTAGCTCCAGACTGGAGTGCAAGCATCTAGCTGGAAGAGAACATGTCTCGACAAGCTCTGGATCTCAATATCCCTCAAAGAGCTCTTGGTCCACAGCACATACTCTTTATGAGTCTGTTGATTATGTGGTCAACTCTGTAAAGGCATCTCCACCATTAAACCACAGCCCAAATAGAGAAAGCAAATGCTAAACATAAAAAGACGGTACTCAGGGCTACAAGGATTCATTTTCCCAAGGAATTATCTACTAAGCTTCCGCAAAAGACCAGACTCTTGGCAAGAGGTCAACTGTGCAGGGAGCAGTCCTAAGGCAGTTTCTCTGTTCTCAAAGAACTCAGCACTAAGTAAAGCCAATCCAGAAGATAACTTGACAAAAACGTAATAAATTATATCACACCAAGTCCCACGAGAGAGGTCTGAAGGACCTCGCGGAATCTGGGAGATCAGGAGCAACTTCCCTTTGGAGGTGGTGTAGGAGCAGGAGCCCTTAAAGGCCTTCGAGGTCAATGTGTGTGTATGAGACAGGCCTGGGGCACTGACTGCACACTGATCCCCAGCTCTCTCACAAAAACCCAAACTGGAAACTGTTTTCTTTCATCTCAGAACCAGTCGTTTATTTCACAAACATTTGTGAAACACCTTCTAGGTGCCATGCAAACGTGGTGCTTACACAATGGAAGCTCACAGCATTGTAAGGCAGCCAGACATGAGGAAGGGTCCACTCACGCCACTTGGCAGGTACTGTGATCACATCACAGCAAAAGCCAGCAGAGAACCAGGAAGGGCATTTAATCCTTCCCAGAGCCCTCAGGAGACATTGCACAGAGGGCTGGGGTGTGCCAGAAGGCCAAGTGAGGACAGGCATGCCCGTCAGAAGAGAGACCTCATGGGAAGGAATGAGCGCAGGAAACGGAGCTGATATTCATGCCGTGATAGAAAGCACCCACCACTAATCAAGAAAAAAGGCCAAGGAGAGAAGCGGGTTTAGAAAAAAGGTTGTGGGCAGTGAAGGGAGGGGAGCTGTGACTGGGTCTAGTTTGTGGGACAAATAGGGAGAGATGTCTGTAAGTGACTGAGTGGGAGGTCTCATTTAGGGACAAATATCTGGGAATCATCCATTATCAAAGAGCACTACAAGAAATAAAAATCCCCCAGGGAGAAGGTATGTAGAATGAAAGGAGAAGACCAAATGACAGATCTGATGTATACTATTAAGAGAACTTGGCAAGTCACTTAAACTTTCTGAATTTGAGTTTCCTCAGCTTTAAAATGGAGACAAGAATACCTCCTTCTTCCTAAGATCGCTGTGGGGAATGAATGAGGCAATAAACTCAAGCATGTAGCACAGTCCTCGGCATGGTTTTCTGGCTACTTTTGGTAAGGACCAAGAAGAGAAGGGGTTCAGAAAGCAGCAGTAAGACTGGAGGGGGGAAAGCTGGCAAGAAGGCAACAAAAGACTAAAGAGAAAGAAAATGCCACAAAGGCATTAAAGGAGATGCAGGTAAAGTGGTACTTAGAAAAAAATTATAGCCATGCACATCTGTATTTAAAAAGAACAAAGTCTCAAATTCATAGCATAATCGTTCACCTTAAGACAGTGGGGAAGAGGGGCTTAGCCCACTGAAACCCCAAGGGAGGAAAAAGTCAAGGAAAAGTCAGAGTGCAGGAGAAGATAATAAAATAATAAAGAATTTTTTTAATAGAGAAAATTAACAAAACCAAAAGTTGATTTTTTGAAAATATGATCAAAATTAATACACCTTTAATTAGACTAAAAAAGAAAGTGAAAAGGCTCAATTGACCAAAATCAGGAATAAAAGAATAGACATCACTACTGACCTTACAGAAATAAAAGGATTATAAGGAACTCCTTTGACCACTATATTCCAACAACTTTGATAACTTAGATGAAACAGATACAAGTTGCCAATGCTAACTCAAGAAGAAATTTAAAAATCTGAAAAAATTAAATTAGTAAGCAAAAAATTACTTACAAAGAAAACCTTAGGTTCAGATGGTTTCACTGGGAAATACTCATCAATATTAAAAAGTAATAACAAAACAAATTATTCATAAACTCTTCCAAAAAATTAAAGGGACGAGAACATTTTTCACTCTTCCTAAGAGTCCAGCATTACCTGAATGCCAAAACAAAGATATCCCAAGAAAACTATAGACCAGTATCTCTTATAAATACAGATGGAAAATTCTCAACAAAGTACTAGCAAACTGAATCCATCAACATATTACAAGGATTATACATCATAACCAAGTGAGATTTACCTAAGAATGCGGTTGGTTTAACATTCAAAAATCAATGAATGTACTGTACCATATCAATAAAATGAAGGACAAAATAACATGACAACTTAAGTATCTGCAGAAAAGAAAATGATGACAAAAAGTCAATGCCCATTTATAATTTTAAAAACTCCATAAACCAGAAAAAAAGGCACTCTCTCTAGCAGATAAAGAACACTTGGGAAAGCTCAGCATGTCCTGCCCCAAAAGGCCCAACCGCCATCTGAGTTCAGAGGCTCCCACAGTTCCTGAAGTCGTGCGATTGTCT